AATGATAATGTTGTATTAACTTCAGCAATACATATGTTAATGAAATTTGGTGATATTCAAAATGCTGAAAATGTTTTTCAATCAATCAAAAAGAAAGATACTAGTACTTATGGTGCTTTAATGAATGGTTACAATATGAATGGTTTATCAAGGAAATGCTTTAAAATCTTGGAAGAAATGCTTGAAGAAAATATTTTTCCCGATGAGATCATATGGAATATAGTTATCGGTGCATGTTCAAAAATTCGTTTGCTTCGTCGTTGTCAATATATTATTAATCAGATTCCTCTTGAAATTCAGAATAAAAAACCAATACAAATTTCGTTAATTCATATGTGGGTAAGTATCGATTGTTGATTTTCACCGACTATTTTATTATTTTGATTAATATTATATGTTTTGTGTAACTCAGATATGTTTTTTAAAGGAAAAATAGTTAGCGTAAGTTTTAAGTCGAAGACTCATTTTGTACCTGCCTCTCTCCATTACATAACATGCCAATACTTGTTCATGTTACAGAGACTCTGTATGAAAGACTTTGGCAATCAAAATCAAATAATAGATATTCTATAACAAAATTATTTATCAGTTAGGTCGATGATTATAATTGTTTAGGATAATAAAGCCAAAGCAAATATATGAGTTGTAGTATATTTTCGACCCAATAGAGCCTTGATTAAAAGGGTCTTTTTTCTTTAAAAGGGTAAATGTGCTTCAATTGAAAAAGCACAAAATGTATTTCAATCAATTGTTGATCGTGATACAATGACATATACTGCAATGAGTAATTATATTTACTTTTATTCATATTGGTTTGTTTAAAATATTAGAAAATTTTCTTTTGAAGTTAATGCATTCGGTCTCAATGGAATGGGTTCTGAAGCTATTCAATTATATAGAAAAATGCCGAATAATCTACGTAATGAAATTTCACATATTTGTGTTTTAAATGCATGTTCTCATTCTGGTCTTCTTCAAGAAGCTTGGAATATTTTTAATGATATTCCTTTAAAAACAGAGAAAATATATACTACTATGGTTTGTTCTTATTAATTTAATTATTATCTAAAACTAATTAATATTTCATATTATATATTTAAGGTTGATTGTTTAAGTCGTTTATTTCTATTTGATGAAGCACAAAATTTAATCAATGAATATGAAAAAACAAACAAACCAAGTTTAGTCATGTATAGTTAGTATTTTTTTTTATAGTGTAATATTGATGTTTTGTTTATTAATTTACTTTTATTTTAGTATCGTTATTATCTGGTACACGTAATAATCGAAATCGTAATTTATCTGAGAACATATATAATCGAATGAAATGTTTGTTTCCTAATGAAAAGCAAGATCTTATGTCAGGAGCAATTCTTGTTTCAAATATATATTCATCAGTGGGAGAACATGAACTAGCAAAAACTTTCCGATATAATCAAATAAAAGAATTAGGAACAAATGTCAAACTAGGATTAACATGGACGGAAGTAAAGGGTCAACTAGTGGTAAAAAAATCTTTATTAGATAAATAAAGAAAATATATTATTTCATATAGGAATTCACAGTTCATGATCATTCTCATCCAAAATCATCAAAAATTTTTTCTGAACTTGAACGTTTAACATCCGAAGCGATTGCGCATGGTTATGAGTGTGATCCTTCATGGGTAACTCGTCAATTAAAAGAAGGAGAAACAAATTTATCTGTTCTATGTGGTCACAGTGAAAGAATCGCAATTGCTTATAATTTCGTTGAAGAACCAGATACAAAATTTATTCAAGTAACTAATAATCTTCGTGTATGTGGTGATTGTCGTAAGTTAACTTGTTCTTTTTTCATTTTGATCATTTTCAATAATGTATGATTTTCGTTTTTATATAAGATCAAATGACAAAAATAATAGCAAAAATCCGACAATGTCATATTATTGTTGGTGATGCTAACCGCATACATCATTTTAATCCAAATGGACAATGTTCCTGCCAAGATCATTTTTGAACATTTTCAAATAAATTTATTCTTTAGAAAAATATTTTTGTTTAAAATTATTGATCTTTTTCTGGTAGATTTTATTAATTAACACAGCAAAACTTATTCTTTTACACTTAGTTATTCTATTGGAGAAATCTTTTGTTTTTCCTGAAATCCAATAATTTGTGGTAACTAACGTATTTTAAATTCGACATTGAATGTATAGAATTTCTCATAGAACGATAGAATTACGGTTTTCTCTATACATCTACGATATTTTAAAGATTTTGAATAGTATTATTGACAAGGAAATTTGGCTTTGAAAATCGAAGACATGATTTATATATTATAGAAGAGCATTTTTCAAGCAATAACAATTTTCATAGAATATTTTTTGTTATTGTCGAATATAGAGTTGAATTCTAAATAAAATTATATAGTTTTCAAATGGAACTGCTACAAGATTTTGAATCCGAAAAGACAAAGTTGATATCAATTTATAGTGAAAAAATAATCTTCTGTATTTGTTGTGACAGATGTTTTTATTGAAATTTTAATCTGAAATTTTTGTACTTTCATCAACAAATCTAGAATTATACAGAGAATCATCTGTTTCTTATTTGGTCCTATTGTATCTATCACCAGCTCAAGTTCAATCCATATATTCAACGTTCGAAGCATCAAATTAGCTTTCAATATGACTACTTTGATATAGGCATGGTTTTTGTTAAATCTACCATTCTTGGAACTCTTTGATATTGTTGGGAATTCGAATTGACATTGCATATAGAATAGAAGCAGAATTTCTAGTGTCATTGTCGAAGGCAATATTCCATACCTCTGTACTTCTAAAGTATGAAGACATGTAGTGAAATATAGAAATGTTCACAGAAAGATGAGACAGTTTTTGTTAGCTTAAGGTATCTATTAAAAAGCAAAAATAAAGAAAGTCATAAGAAATATATAGCATAAAATATTTCGTTGTCAGTTAGAGAAATACGGAAATATATGTCATTAAAACTCTATTTTGTTTAAGTTTTTTCTATTTCTTATCAATGATCGATTATTTCAATTCATTTTATATGTCACTTTTATATTGCCTGCTTAATTATCATGCACTGATATTGTTATTTTTATCACACTTGAAATAAGCACCATTTTTCTCCTTGAACACATTAGTGGAAAAAGAAACAATAATAGTAAAAAGAGAACTGGCACTTCGTCTTCTACTATAAGTTCTGATTTCATTTATGCCCGTATCTGACTTTTCGAAGATCATCTATTGTTTCTAAGATGGGAAAAAGAAAAACAAATGTTCTTCTCACAATGGATAAAAACTATTTGTCCCATTGAACTATTATTTCTTCTCTTTCCATTTCCAATATGTACAGAAAGTTCAACAATCGATAAAAGTAATGCCAATCAAATTTCCTAATCAACAAAAAAGAATGAATATCGAATCGGAACCGGAGAAAATCGGATCAAATCTTTCCGATTTTACACATGTTCAAATGACAATGAAAACTAAAATTAATTTTTGAGCTGGTATATTTCTCGGAACCAAAATAGAAAGGCTAGTGGCCAAGCTTAATATAACCTATCTGCAATTTGATGACATTATTCAATAGGGATTTGAACAGATATCGAAAGAAGCTGAACGTGTACTTGGACTGATTATCGAAGATTTGAAAGAAGAGGAACAAGATCGACTATTCGATTATGCACAAGAAATACAATCAAGATGTGAACAACGATATCGCGAATGGTTACAGAAATACATTGTCGAGCTTGACCAGTCGAAATCAATCGAGTTGAGTGAACTGCATGAGGAACTGCAAAAATATAAGGAAGAAATGAGCAATGTGTTTCGAGAAAAGTTGGATCTTCTCAACAGTGAGATCGAAACTGCAAAATCTGGAATTCTCCGTGAAGAACAAAAGAAGAAATCAGAAGAAGCTAATAATATTATCTCCAGCATAGAACGAATTTCATGACAAAACAAAATGCAAGATATTGAAACCGAAGCGAATACAGATATCCATTTAATAAAGATATAAGCCAATGGCAGTAATAGACAAGTTACAAAGGACATAATGAACAAATATTCTTATCTAGACTATTGTTCATAGTTATAATAAGTTCTGCTTGATTCTAATTCTTTTCATGCTCTCTTATACATTAAATAAAGCCAAGACTAGAGAAACTTCTGTATTTAGGTGTGTAATAAAATCTAATTTTCAAGTTCTTTTCAAAATGTTAAGAGCGTGGATGTGAATATCCTCTTCCAGCACCTAACTATACACCGACACCCATACCATTCATATTGACTACAGAGATGTTTACATTGAGTCTGGAAAATTTCAAGAATAGTTTAATGAACTATTTATTTTAGTAAGGTACACCAAACGCAAAAATCGAGCCAAAAATAAAGTTGTTTTGATTTATATATGGTTTGATAGAATTTTTTGAGACGAATCTAAATATGTACTTTTTATTGAGTTTTGATCAGGGTGTGGGTGTGGGTGCGGGTGTGGGTGTTTCTTTACTCTAACCACAGTCGCACCCACACCCACACCCTAACCCCCACACCCTCACACCCACCCCCACTCCTACACCCACACGCACACATCCACATCCACATCCACATCCACACTCAAACCCACCCACACCCGCACCCACACCCACACCCACTTCCTAATCTAAATATGAACACGATCGAGCTGTCTATACTGAAAAAAAAAGCTTATCATATGTAGTTATAATCAATACAGTAGGTATCAGCTACTTATTTCACTCTGAGACTCACTCTTACCGTGACTAATGTGATTTTTATATTTGTAATCATTCATATTCAGTCACATACTCGTTATATATATGTTAATGAGAGCGAATACAACTGCTAAACTTTTTTGTTTATCACGCTTATTCAATGTAAATTTTTTTCAAACTTTACATGACATAAAGAAAAAGAAACAAAGTTAAAGGGTCTTGTCAAAATGACGTTGCTGGAATAATTCACGAATTCATTTTCAGCCCTTGATAGCATCTTTGAAACGTTTAACGGGAAACTTTGGTCCTGGACATGTTCTCGTAGTTTCAAATTGATCATGGGTATATACGCCAAATTGTTTTCCATATCTTCGTTTCATATCTTTAACTAATTTTAGGCCTGCTTTTATTTGCACTTCAGGCATTTTATTTGCATTGTTTCTATCTCGACTGAATTCAATACCTATTAGCCATGAGTTGGGATTTGGACCCTTTGCATATTTCGAATTAGGGCTGACTACTCCTGCGTGCCAAGCTGTATCATCTTCACTAACCATTTGAATAACTCTTCCATCTTTTTCAACGACATAATGTGCAGAGACTTTTGCTTTAGGATTTTTGAACCATTGAACTGCATTTGGTCCAGCAGTACCATGAAGAACGACACCTTTAATTTTTTCCTTGCGACCACGTCGATAATTGCCAGTATTAGCAGGTTCTTTTTTGGCTTCTGGGTAATCTAACGTCCATGGAGTAGAAACAGCCAGAAGACAGAATAGAGAATATATGAGAAGAAGATGCATGTTGTATATTGATTTGCGATTAAAAAAAAATATAATGATCGCCTGCCATTTTATACCTCCTTTGTCTCATTACTCTATCTGGTAATCCTATCTAAACTGATAGACATTCGATTTACTATAAAAACGCCTCTTTTATCTTTCAATTATATATCATATATCATAAGTGAAGGAATAAAAAAAGAAAGATTTTGCACTCATAAAACAAAATAAAGATACAACCATATACAGAAAGGATTAATAGCGTTGGTGTTAGTATATGGAATTATGATCTTATATACATTCGACTTACTTCCTTATGTCAAAAAGTAAAAAGAGTAGAATTTGATACCATTTTGTGAATTTCTATTTAAAAAGGATGAAATTAATGTAGATTAAGACAAATGACAACAAAGATAATATTCATTGAGGTGTTTAAGTTCATTGAGTTTGAAAACTTTATATACATATTACGTGTAAAACTTGAATTAAATTTTCGAGTTTAGCTATGCTATTTTCGAATAATAGGATGAAAATAGAACTTTGATTCTCGAGGAAAGCTTACTCATTATTATCCTTTGTTTAAACACATATCTTGCTCATTGATAGGATTCATAGAGTAGAGAAAAATTTCAAAAAGATTCATGTTATTGTCGCTTTGTTCTAGAGATACAAGCTTAATAGATTTCTCTAAAAAAAGACATTACTGTGGTTTTTTAATATTTTTTTTATTTCAATAAATAAAAATTTTCACGAATTGATTTTTTTTATAAATTCATTTTATGCATTTCTATTAGTTGTTAGTGGCGGAGCCAGAAAAAAGTTGTAGAGGGGGGCTCAGCCCCGGTCGCTGCTAAAGTTCAAAACTATACTAGCATAATATATTTTTACCATAGAAATACTGATATATAATGAAAAGAAGTGAGAATGTTTAATTTATTTATTAGATCAAGTTTAACGTAATAATATTCGACTATTTCCATGATTTAGCGAAAAAACATCGATTAGTTTTTCGAAGTCTATTTCAAAATCTCTTTCTACAGCTAGTAAGCACATATCACTCAATCTTGAATCATTCATTGTATTTCTTGTGGATCGCTTGAACAGCTTCATCTTACTAAAACTACGTTCACAAGTTGTTGAAGAAACAGGTATGGTAAGTGCTCCAGTAATCATAGACATAACTGTTGGAAATGCTTCTTTATATGGTCTTAACTTTTCATATAATTCAATGATGGATTTTAAATTTTCATCTTTTATCATTGGTTTAATAACATTCAGTTCATTCTGTAATTGATCCAGATCACAATTTAAATGATCAGCTAATGAATATAATGATTTAAACTCTAAAAATTGTTCACTTTCTGGATGCATAGCTGCTAAACTTTTCAATAGGTTCAAATTTGTATTCGAGAATCTGTCGTTTAATTCGATCAATATACTATCAATCAAAGGATAAAATATGCTAATTCGAAATCGATGTTCATCATTATTGTCATCATCTCTATGACCAATAGTACTTGTAACAATGGAATTAGTAAAACGAGCAGGTATTGTTCATACTCGACTTCCTCTTCTTTTTTGTTTTAAATCAATATCATATTTTTGACTAAATTCAACAATTTGATTATAAATCAATTTGAATGATCTTTCATTACGA